TAATAACAAAAAAAAAGAAAAAAAGGAATGAAGTGGATGAAGTGCTAAATCTGGCACATTCGCAGACCCCATGACGCGGAAATCACACGGTACAGAAGAGCAGAAAATAGTAATACCCAAGCACAGGTACAGCTCATTTAGAAATGATAATGTGAATTTGAGCTGGTGGGCAAGCAGACCCTATGCTACGTTTCAAAAATCGGTCGTCAGTCCGGCATCGTCAGGGGAGATAAGCTGGCGGGGGCCATGTCAAAACAAACTCTCCATTTCTAACCACTGGTTACAGCTCTCGTAAAATCGAGCAGAAAAGGATTGCTTGGGAGATAAGCCCTTTTTATTAATTAAGCCATGGCCCATGAAGATACACGATGAAGGAAGACACGGCTATAAGATCTGCCAGCAAGACCACCCCCACACACACCGCTACCAAAAACACCAACTCCCACTGCGATGCTGTTTTCGCAATCCAGTAAATTACCCAACCTCCCGCGCGGCAGGGGTCAACGACCCCGCTAAACCCACCCACTGCATGCTTCGCACGTTTGCACCATCAGATTCTTTCTCCCCTTTGCTTCTGGTTTTGCCATTTTGCGGCGTTTCATTACCCCCCCCCTCAACCCCCCCCCTCTTCTTAAGTTTGCGCGGTTTCTTTTTCTGGTTTTGCCATTTCGTGGTGTTCATTGAAACCCCCTCTCGCGCTCTGAAGGGTTGAATCAATTTCTTTTTCTGGCTTTGCCATTTTGCGGTGTTTCATTGGGCCTACGGGATTCCCCGTAATATAATACTATAATCATTCTTTTCGAAAGGCCTGAAAGGCCTCCCTGTCAGATTCAACAGGCGATCAGTTCGGTTGGGCTTAAGCTGCCAATACCTTTCACATACATCAAGCTGCAGCCTGGTATCGCAAAAACGCCCACCGATAAAGTTTCGGCCCCAGGAGGCCCCACAACTTTTGGAGGCGGGTAATGCGAAAACGCCCGCCGATAAAAGTTTAGAAACAACGGCCGACGCCTGTAGTTATCACAGCCGGAGTTTAAAACAGCAGGAGTTTAAAACAGCAGCAATTTGGGTAGAAAATTAAAAATGAATCCGTTGTGGCTTTTTTTGGGTTTGTTTTTCCCCTTTCCCCTCGGACACCACAGCCGACCCCTGTAGTTATGACACCCGACCGGACCCACGCCACGGCCATTGCTACTTTCATTTCTTTGTCGAACTCCGCGTCTGTTCTCTTTGCCGGCGGCGCCTGTTCTTTTTGCTCATTAGATATTCAAAAGTGACATCACCGTACCTGGCCCTAAACTTTATCAACGGCGGCTGCCGTTGGACCCTGCCTCCAAAGGCCCCCGAAGAATGCGACACCGCCGGCTGGACCCGGCCTCCAACAGTACGTCTGAGATGAGACATCGCCGCATCGGCGCTTGATCCACTACTCTCAAGTCAGCAATTTTCAAGAGTTGAGTGTCGCTCCACTTCCTCTCGATCCCTAGCTTAGTCACAAAATATGACAGCGATGGGACACCGGACCTCGCTCCCCTACTCCCAATTCAGCAATTTTTGAGAATGGAACATCGCCCCACTTACTATCGATCCCTCACTCTCGAAAATCGATCGAGAAAAAAGAAATAAAAGTCGATCGGGAGTTGTCAGGGAGGGCCCTTCGCCAGCGCTCTCGTGTTTTGGAGAGCGCTCCGACCTCGGCATTCGAGAAATTGAGAGTCCTCCCAGGGACCCTCGACTTGGGACGTGAAATCGAGAGTAGGCAGTTTGTTTCTCTCTTC